ATCCAAACCCTCTCCCCAACAAAACCCACCACCGCCAGCCCTCCGCTTTCCCGCCCAGGCTGTGGTCCCTGTGCAGGACATGGGGGGCCGGGAGGACGGCAGGAGCAGCCCCCCCCAGCCCCCAAATCTCTCTGTGCATCACCGGGCTCGGACTCCCCAACTGCCTCACCGACCACCAGCGCATTCCTTCATCTGCTGCCTACACCCCTGCAGCTCCCACCTCGCTCATCCCAACCTTGGGCATCCCTAAATCCTTCGGGCCGAGCCCCCACCGGGACAGAGGGCAGCGCGTCCCGACGGGGCGGTGGGCACCAAAAAAAGACCAAAAAAGGGGCCGGTGGCGAGCGCATCTCCCACCATCCTTGGAGGATTGTTCACCTGGGATGGCCGCGGTGAAGCCTTGGAAGGCTCCTGAGATGGGGCTTGGCCTCGCAGGCGAGGAGCGTGGTCGGGGGGGGCAGGCAGAGGACCCCGTCAAACCCCCCACCCCGGTGCAGGGAGCACCCGCAGCCCCACGGGAGCTGCTCCCAGCCCTGCGGTTTGAGCGGAGCCGAGCCTTCCCGGCGTTCCCAGGTGATACCATCTCACCTCCGCACTTGAAAGCGGCTCTTTGAAGGGGCTGGGAGCTGGCTCTTCCCAACACTGCCGATCCCCAAAATCCCCAGCACCGACTTTTACCCCAAGAGCCCAAGCGTTTCAGCTCAACGACCATCCCAAAATCCTGCCGGAGCCCCAGCCCCGAGTGGATGTTTGACCGAAGGCGGCTCTGGAGGCTGCGCACCCTCGGCTCCCGGAGCACCCCACGGTGCTCCCACCCTTCGGAGCTCAACCCCCCCCAACCCTCATGGACCACGGGGCAGATACAGCCCCTGGGAAAGAACCAACCCCACCGGGGCGGCTGCGGCGGCGGGCACGGCTTCCTACCGTCCCCGCCGAGGGTCACCCAACCCTCTGCCGGCACCCGGCGATTGACTTTCCAGCCAAACAAAGGAAAAACAACCTGGGAGACGACCCCGGTGCAGGCAAGGTGGTGTTGTTCCCTCCATTCTTGCCTCCTCCTCCCCCCACCCCACCCCACGGCTGATAACTGGGATATTTATTTGTAAATAGAGGCTTCCTCCTTTGCAATAGTCCTCCCACTCCTGGCGTGAATCACTCGGTGGAAGCGGTTGTGCCACCGCGAGAACTGGAATGGTGGCAGGGCCGGCGGAGCTGGCAGGGAGGAGCGCGCTGCAGGCAGGAGCCAGGCAGAGCAGTAAGCCCAAAGGAATTTGGGGATGCTCTCGAGTACCTAGAAAGCCGGCCGGGAAGTCACGGGAGAGTTGACCTGAAAAAGGCGGCTCTTTCCTCCCGGCGTGAGGGTGCGCTGCAGGAGAGCAATGGTGTCACGGGGCGAAACCCCCTGGCTTTGGGGTCCTGTGACACAGGGGGGGGGTAATTGAATGGAGATGGTTCTCGATAAAAGGAAAAACTTCAGCTTATGGATTTTCTTTTTTTCCTTTTTTATTTGTAACCAGTCGCCCTGGAAGAGCAGGAGCAAGTCCACGAGGGAATATATTGTATTTGATCAAAGAAAACCCGGTAAGAAGCTTGCAGAGAGCTGGCCGAGGTCGCTGCCCGGTGCTCCTCGCTCTCTGCCCGCCGGCTTTAGGCCGGCTCCATCCCGGCAGCCCCGGCACCCACCGGCCGCTGCTTTGGAAGCACTGGCCAAGAGCATCGCTGTGCCCGTCGCCGCTCCAGCTGCCCTTCCAGTGCCGGCTGGAGGGTTTCGTGCTTTTCCTGCTGTTCTAAAACCACAAAAACAATTATTTAATTGTTTCGCCCTGATGCTGGCAAGGTGCACAATGCCGGGAGCCTCTGCAGCGTTGTTTGTTTGTTTTTTTCTCTTTTCGAATCGCTCTTTGTCAGTGGCTTATTCTGGGTTTGGAGATTAAAGGGGTTATTCCCCCCCTCCCAAGTTAAGTGAAACTGGGGGACAGATCCCGCCTCGCCCAATGCCGCAGCAGAGCCAGGCAGGCACTGAACTGAATCCTGCTCTGGCAAATTGATTAATTTAGGGCAAAAGCCCGAAAAAGGCATATAAACCCCCTCGCCTTTCACCAAGCGGGGAGGCGGCGTTCAGTATTTATTTATTTTTGAAGCTTGACTTTGCATTTCATCACCCCATCTCCCTGCCTGCGGGCAGTTATTGGGGCTGGAGGGCTGGTGGGAAAAACCAACCCAAAGCACGGCAGAGCACAGATTTGGTGGCTGTTTTCGGTGATTTCCCCGCTGCAAAACACCCTCCACGCCCCAACGGTGGAAGGAGGAGACTCAAGTCCCCGTGATGGACAGGGAATATTGCCGGCAAACGCCACCGTCCACAGCCATCGCTCGGCGAGGACATTCTATCCACTCCTCCCTCCCCATGACAGAGATCCCTTTAATCTCGGCTTAAAATATTCTGATGTGGCGGCGAAAAAAAGGGGGGAACCCCCCCCCCAACCCCTCCCAACCCCCCCATCTATATCCTGCCCTGAAGCAGCGTGTAACAAGGGGGCTGTGTCCTGGTGTCCGGCATAAAAGCCTCCGGCCGCCTGTTTATTTTGGATTGTGAACGTGAAAATTAGGCAAAGGGAAAACATCGCCTTTTGCCCTCCCCTCCCCTTCCCCGATGGCTCACACAAACCCAAATTGTAGCCGCCGGGATGTTTTTGGCTTCGCCGTTGAACGCAGAAATCAATCAGGCTGCGGCAGCCGGGGGGGTGTGTATGTGTGTTCAGTCCCCCCCACTGTTTATTTTCTTAATGTATGGGCTCAGGATAAATTAAATATTACACCCAAGGTCAGGCACCGAGTGCTGCTGCCCCGGAGCTCGCACGTCCCGACCCCAGGATGCTCGGATCCCTGCAGCACCCCCAGGGCTCCCCCATCCCGAATTTGGACCCGGGACCGGGGGGGTCCGACCCGTCCCGGGGCTGCTGCCGGAGGGGAAGCGCCTCTGACGTCTCCTCCGGCCCGTAATCCGCCCGCCCGCTAAAAATGGGGCCTTATTGGAGTTTTTTTTCCTGGCTTTATCTTGCAGCCACCGGTTCTGTTTTTCTGCCAGCTTAAAAGGCTCTTTCATAGCCGGGATTTTCCCCTGTGAATGTACATTTTATTCAAGGTTTTTTGGTTTTTGTTTTTCTTTTTCTTTTCCTAAATAACCTCTTGGGGTTTTGTTCCTTCCCAGACATTTTCTTTAGCTCCCCCATTTCTGTTTATGGCCCTTCTTTGCAGAAAGCCTCTATAAATAAAGGATTTTTGACCTACGGGCTCCCCAGTTCAAGCCTGGCCACTAAAAAGGGCTTTGTTGGCTGCAGCAATGCAGCTGGTTCCAGGCTGGCACCTCTCAGGCTAATGTCAATAGCAGACCGGTTAGCATGAGATTATATATATATATATATTTTTTATATATATTTTTTATATATATATATATTTATCTTGATCCAGCAGTGGCAGAGGGGGGGATAAGCATGGTCCGGCGTGGCTCAGAGGGAGCAGGAATTCTCCTTGGGAGCGCAGGAGAGGGCAGAGGGGCCGATGCCCCCGCGGCTGGAGCTGGTCCCGGCGCTGGCTCTCAGGTCCCTCCTCTGCCAGGTGTTTTGGCTGCCGTGGGTTTACCGGCTCTCCATAACCCGCCGCGGTCGCGGGAAGCCACGTTCACTTACGCCGCCGAGGGTTGCCTGACACAAGGGGCATTCAGCTGCGGCAGCCAGCGACCCGGCGAGCACTTGAGCGGCTGCACGTCTGGCTGTGCCCTTAAAAAATCCCGAGGCCAAGCTTCGGTTTTCCTCCTCCTCCGGGTCCCTCCGAGGGTTTTGCAGCGGGACCCCGGGGCCAGCAGCAGCAGCAGCAGCAGGGTGGGACGCACGGAGCTGGGAAGGATGGGAGGGTGTTGGGGCGGCTTTTGGGGGAGGCAGCCCCCCCCAAATGACACACCGGGAAGGGGTCGGGAGCCTCAGGATACCCTTGCAACGCAGGTGGGACCCACCAGGCAGGATATCCAAGACATCCAGCCGAGGTATTCAGGCTTGGGAAGCCACCCCGTGCCCTTGCTTTCTCCCTGAGCCGCTGGAGCAAGGCAAAGGGACCTTGGTGTCCGGCTGGGAAAAAGCGCCCGAGTCCAGCTGGGAAAAAAAGCACCCGAGTCCGGCCGGAAAGCAGCCGGCGGCCGAACAGAGGCCCTCAGTCTCCGGGCCATTAATCCGGCCATCACAAAAGGCGCAGCGGCAGGTCACAATGCATGGCACATGCCCGAGCTTGATGTATTTTGTCCTTGTTCTTGCTTGTTTATCTATCATTTGCATTGTGCCTGCCTGGCAGGCTCGCCGCCCCGCGCCCGTCCAACGCCGCCGGGAACGCTGACTCAGCGCCCGCAGCCTGGTGTCCCCACGCAGCGACCTCCCGGGCATCCACCGACAACCAGCCCCACCGCCGAGCCGGTTCCCCAGAGCCGGGAGGCTTGGGATAGCATCGGCACAACCGGAGCCCCCGCAACCGCTCGGCTGCACCAGAGCTCGCAAAGAAAACCCGTTTTTTTCCCTGGGAACGTGGGAAAGCAAATGCGTTCCCCCCCTTCCCGCTCCCAGCCCTGGGCTGAGACTCCCCAGTGCGATAGGTGACCCTACCTCCCACGGGAATGAGTCACCCGCCACCTTCGGAAGCGGAGATGGAGGTGAAGGATCCCAGAAGCTGGGAGCTCCAGGACGGCGCGGGAGCCCGGAGGAGACACGCGTGACTCAGCCCGGCAGGAATGGCAGGAATTTGTACCTGCCCAGGGAAATCGCACACAGGTATAACAGGTCCAGGCGTTCTCTGCTGCCATAACTCCTCCGGGAAGGAGAGAGAGACCCTGGAGGGATCGGATGTTCCCAAGCGCTGGGAGATCCTCTGAGATCTTGCAGCATCTCACACCTGCGTTTCCCAAGCGAGATAAACCCTGGGAGGGGGAGGCTTAGATTTGCACCTGAGCCCGACAAATAGTCACCATGCGGTTGCCGCCATGCCACCTTTACACCCTGCGTTTGACCGTAAAACACTGAAATGCTCTGAATTTGGCTCATAACAGAGTGGGGAAGAGACCGCAGTGACCCTCCGACAGACGGGGAGGACGAGAGCCGACGGCAGCCACCCTCAGCGGTGCTTTCGCCTTCGCCTTCCCCGTCTGCCGGCCAGGGGAAGCTTTGCTGTGTCCCCCCCCCCTCAACCGGTGCCCCTGCCAGGGACCGCGACGGGGCTGTGCCACCCACCCGGGGACACTCAAGCAGAAGGTGACACCGCAAGGATGGGCTGGGGACACCATGAGGGTCCCCGTCCACGGATGAGGTGGGGAGCAAGGGGGGACACGGGACGAGGAGCTGCGGTGCCAGCCTGCTCCATCCCCTTATGGAGGGACCGCCGAGACCCATTTTAAGGAGCAAGCGTAACCCCCGCGGGGGACAGGAGCCCTGCGGCCAAGGGGACCTCGCCGGGGGACACGGACCCCGCACAGACCTGCCCGCGGCTCCGTGCCAAGGCAGCAGCGGGAAGCCAGATGAAAGGCAAACATTTCATCGGGAAGAGCCGGGGAGACCCGTACTTTGCTCACGCGGCCGCCGAGCTTGACAACACTGAGCCGATTTTTTGCTCGGTTTGCAAAACAAACTTCACCGCTGGGCTCGCGCCAAGCCTGGAAAATTTCGAGCGTGAGGAGCGGCGCGGGCAAAGTTGAGAGTCACCGACGACGGCGGCCCGGGACGATGCATGCCGCCGCGATCCGGGCTCTGCCCTTCGTGCGTTACGACAGACCCGGGAGCTGAGGACGCACCGCCGCAGCTGATGCAAGAAGGGGAATTCGGGCAGGGAGAAGGGAATTAGTTTTCTGGCCATGGTTTCTATTTTGGGGCTGTGTTGCAAGGGTTTCCTGAGCCGTGACGTTGCGCCTCAGCCGGGTGACGCCATCCGTGCCCGCCTGCCTCGTTTCACAAGAGCTGCCCCAGGAAAACGCCCTTTGCAATGCCTGCTCCGGCTTCCCCTCCGCGCAGCCCCGGTGAGGGTTGCGATGGCTCCTTGTTGTCGTTTTCCTGTCATAGAAAAGGTGCCAGGAGCCCTTCATCCCCTCGGGGGATGCACCTGAGTGCCTGGAGCTCTCCTGGGACACAGAGCCTCGGTCCCTCCGGCGTGCACCGCACTTTGCATGACCACGCTGCAAAAGTCCCTTGCAGGCAGCCTCAAAAGCCCAGACAGTATTACAAACCAGAAAAAAAAAAAAAAAAAAAAAAAATCTTTCCTTTCTCCCATCCCATCAAGAAACTCGATAACAAAGTTCGCCACATCCATCGGGGCTCTGATGGTCACCCTGGGCTGACAGCCCTGCTCAGATGAAGGTGCAAACTCAACGGGCTCTTTTGGAAGCGCGCGGTGGTTGCCCCTCGCCCGGCCGTCATTTACAACCTCTGAAAAGAACCGGGAGCACAAAATGCCGCCCCGAGCATCACAAAGGCGGCCTGACGTCAGGGTGCGGGGAGGCGAAAAGGCTCCAGGCCAAGAGAAGGGAAGCTGTGTTTGAAAAATGACAATTTCTGTCTAGGAAAGGCAGGGCTGTGAAAGGAGCCCTTCTTCGGGGCTCTCCAGGAGCCCGGGCGCAGAACAAGAAAAGCCTTTGAACAGCCGGGTAAACTCCTCGGCAGGCTGCCAGCCAGCGCCTGCAAGGAGCCCAGCGGAAAAATCTATCTGCAGGCTGGCTCGGGAAGCCAGGGAGACGCCCCAGCGTGGTTGGCGGTCCTGGGGTGATGGTGGGGGGGGAAGCTTCTTCGCCGGGGAGGCCGGGTCCCGGCAAAACGCTCCGGCTCTTTTTGCAGGTGCGTGCCGGCAGGCTGCCCGCAATGGGAACGGCAGCGAGGTCAAGGCGGGTACGGCACGGCACGGCACGGCACGGCACGGCACGGTGTCTCGATCCGGGGCTGAAGGCAGGCGTGCTGTGTACCGGCCGGAGGTGAGCAGGCAGCTCTACAGAGAGAACTGGAGAAAAATAAAAGAAAGGAGGAAAAATCCCTACTTGACCGTACGCTCCTTTGGCCGGTGATTTTTGAAGGTTCGCCCTGCACCCGACAGGCACCTGTTGCACCACTAATGCACCCAGAAACAACAATCTCCTATTACAAATATAGTTCTTTCCAAGTGAGGCACCAAAGATGTGCGTAGATGAGACACGTTGAGATGATGCACGTCACATCCCAGCTCAGTAAAGCCCAAACGCTCTGGGAACGGGGCTTCTGCCTCCCTGGCTCCCCCAGTACATGGGTCTTTTGCACGATGCCAACACGGAGAGGACACCGAAATGCCGGGACAGTGAGACAGGGGTGGGGAATAGCAAAGAGCATCCAACGCCTTCCTTTGCGGGGCCATCCGGCTGAGTTGCACAAAGATCACCTTCCATCAAATCCAGCTTTCACTATTCTTCTTCTCTCATGTTCGTTCCCCAAAACACCATTAAAGACCGAATGCCAGAAATTAAAAGACAGAATCGGACCTGGCCGGCTGCCCGGCTACCTCTGGTCAGGGCTGCTCACCAGAAAGCAGAAATAAAAATCTCTCCCTCGGCCGTGGTGGGTGGCAGAAGGCAAAAGGCTGCTTCCCAGCGCCTTATAATTCCTGTTTCACTGAAAAGGGAACCAAGTGCTACCGAAGCGGGTTCTTGACACGGCTGAGGGTGACCGGCTCGCTCGGGCTGCTCTGAACTTGCTGGCCTCACCCTGCAAAGCTCGGAGAAGTCCCTGGGGCAACAGCGCAGGACTGGGTGCAGTTTAGTGGGGAGGAAGAGGTTTTACAGGGTGTATGAGGTTTTATGGGGTGCAGGAGGGTTTTGCATGGGCAGCCATCCCGAGGGGCAGCTTGGCGGGCTTGCTGGGGTGCTGATGGCCAACACCTACCGCAGAAATGCCAGGCCAAGAGCTGTGCCAGCCCTTGCCCGTCCGTAGGGAGCAGGACACCCCAAACAAGGGCTCGCCTGGAGCTGGGCAGCCCCAGCTGAGAGGATGGTGCCATCTCCTGGCATCACCAGGCTTTTCCCAGCCCGCAGGCACACCTCGGAGCAGCAGGGACCAAGGATGCTCATCTCCGCAAAGGGCCAGGGCTGATGTCCTCCTGTACAGGCAGGGAAACTGAGGCACAGAGCAGCGGCACAGGTGGCCCACCAGCACCTGTAGCACATCCCCCCAGGCGGTGACCTGGGGACCCTCCTGCCACCTTGGCCTCGGAGCCCAACCGAGACCACCCGTCCTCTGCATTTCATCCCACCCCGGCTGAACGTCAACTCCAAGCAAGCAGCAATCGGGCGGGTTTCGGCAGATGCGAGAGGAGAGGGGCAGTGCAGGGATCGGGCTCCGAAATCCAGAATTAAAGTTTTCTAGATCTCTGAAGCAGACAGCAAAGTGACACCAAGAACGAGACCATCTCCTATACATTCCTATTCACATCCACGTCAGGGAAGAAACCCTCATCTTCCTTAAGCACAACCTCACCAACGTACCTAACGGGGATTCATGGTTCAATAGCTGAACGGCACAAAAGCTATTGAAGGTCAAGCTTTTTAGTTCAGGCTGAAACAAAACAGGCAGCTTTTGGGTTTTCAGGGAAGGGAAAAACCCACACGGAGCACACAGAGCTACAGGTCAGTCTGGAAAGACTACGCTGGAATTGAATGTCACGCTCGGGTTCTGTCCTCTGCTCAACTTCCCCAGTTTTGCTTCAGGGCTGTTTCCAAGTGAAAAATCTGCTTTCAAACAATCAAAGTGCTCCACTCCTAAATCTCTGCCTGAAACACTGGAGCATTTCCAAAATGCATATTTTTAATTGTCAGATTGGAATGTTTTGACATTTGCAAGTATTCCCCCCCCCTTGGCCAAGATGATTTGTTGAATTAAATCCAGCTTCACTAAAAGTTTTGGTCCCTTTTTCGAGGAATGTACATTGTGTGGAAAGGGAATAATTACAGTAGAGACCCAAGCGATTCATCTTTGCCCTGATTTAAAACAGCATGAGAATCTGTCCCCTTGGCGCTCTCCTAATACCTATAAATTGCCAGGGATGTAAGAGGGCTCAGAGGTAGGATAGACCCCTGGGGAGCACTTGTAAGGAATTGTTTTTATGCATGAATAATGCAATACCTTTTTTTTTTTTGCTTTGCTCCTCAAACTTGCTTTAAAGTTCAGAGGAGCTGGCTAGAATCCACAAGACTGTAGCATTTCCTATTTAGATCAGATTGAGAAAATCGCCTGTGTAGCATGGCTACTGTTGAGCAATTTCTTCCTCTGGACCAGTTACTGGAGAAGTGGTGGCCAGCACAGCGAGCACCGACCCGTGGGGGGACCCGCCTCTGCCGTGTCAGCCACATTCCGTGGGACGACCAAGAATTCCCTCTCCTGTCACAACAAGATCTACTGGCATTCTTCAAATGCCACTTTAGTGGTCTGCTGCAAATGACTGATACGTTATCCTGTGTGATGGATCTGCAGACACTACGTCGACTTTTGGGGGAGAATGGGTCAGATTGTCATAGTTCTTCAGCAGACATGCAGGGCAAAAAGGGGAAACTACCAAATTCACTTGCAGGTACATCATGGGTAGACACAGAAAATACCCCCCACCCCGACTTCGGCCAGCACAAACGCTCCCTGGAATATTTCCATTATAGTTTCAAAAGGATTAGCTTTCACCTCTACACAAGCTTCCTGATAACCACCTCAGCTTTTCCTGTTTAATTGCTTTCTGCCATTCTTACAAATCATCCTCCAGACCCAGGGTACAATTCTCATCATCAAATAACCACTAATAAGCCCAAAAGATCCAGACGTGATAAACTTTCAATTTGTTTTTAATCAGTTCTAATACAGAGCGGCACATCTGCACCATGCTTATCCCGGTTCGGAAGGCGTTATCCACGCTTTATTCACACAGGCAGCTTTCCTGCTTGTCAGTTAGCTCTCCTCTGCCATCAGTTCTCCTTCCTCGCGGTCCACAGCCTGCTTGGCCACAGCAGAAAGAAGTTTCCATGTCCCTCTGACACTCACGCGCTGGTGGCTTTGGCATTTCTAAGGAAAAGATAAAGAACAAAGAAATTCAGTGATCTCTGGAGGGGGGACAGGGCCAACAGCAGCTCGGACTAACACGCACCAAGCTCTCTGCAGGAGCTCGGATCCCCCCGAGCGCTCACCCTGCCTGCGACAGCCCTCTTACAAAATACTGCGCGAGGTCCCCAAAAACCAACATTTACTCTGAAGGGCAGCTCAGCCGCAGGTGTCTCCGGCCACGGGACGGGCAAAGTCCATTGCCAACAACTGTCTCGACTGCCCCAGCAGCACACAAACCCTCCCCTGCGGGGCTCAGCAGCAACACAGGACAGTAAATCATCTTCTTCATCCCTAAGGGCATATCCCGATTTGGCATAGCAAACGTTAATCAAGCCGTGGGTAAGGAACTCCGTTACCGTGAGGCAAAGCAGCAAGAGGGTAACGGCCGATGGCAGAGCCAGTCTTGTTCCACCGAGCAGCAGCAAAGTCAGGAGTAGTGCGGGAGAAGGAAGATTTGCTCCAGGACAGCCACCCCTTGTCACCCCAGCGTAACCGCAAAGGGGTCCAGCCTAACCCCAGCAGCACCACTCCATAGCCCCTGAGGGCCGGCCGATGCCCAGCACTTCACTTCTGACAGCTAGCTAGGAAATGTTTGTGCCAGAGCTAGGTATGGCGCTAATAATCACGGGGAGCAATTAGCCTGACAAATAAATTGGGTGATGAAATGAAGCACCGACCTCAGCTGGATGCGTGCAGGTTGGGATGCTGAAGGAAATGGGGAAGGAATTCACATTTCTATTAAAGCTGGTAAAGTGCTCC